GAAAGGCAAAACTTGCTCGAGGTTGCTAAAACCGCAAAAAGTTGCTCCAAACGCCAAAAGTTGCTCAAAAGTTGCCGAGCACAATCGGGACAGGCCTAGAATCGACCGCGCCTGTTGCGATAGTTTTTGCGCCATAATCGCATAAGGTGGCTTTGAGTCCCTTATCTCAATCTTGTAATATATATGCTTATGTTTCTACCGTGTTTAAATTAAGTGTGTGTATATATGTAAGTATGAAACCCCAAATTAAAGCTGCGTCTTTTCTTGCTTTGGGACGGACCATTAATTTTTGACGTGGGGAGGGGGAAGGGGTGGCAATTTTCCGGGACACGGAATTTTTTTCTCACCTTTGAGTTGGGCATGATTTTTTTGGATGGGCAATGGTTTGTGCAATATCTAACAAAAAAAGTCAGACACAGGACCTACATAGTAGATAGCACTTGTTCGATTTTGTTTTTCTCCATGGCTTCCCTTGCACGATTTTCTTTCAGCAGTTTTTCCTGTGCAGGAATATACTTTTTTAAATAAACCAACCCGAAAAATAATGGTCCGTCCCTTATAAGCCTCTTGTCTTGGTTGTATAAGGGCCGTACGCGTAGAAGTGAAAGGGCGAGAGAAAAAAGTGTAAGGCCCTACTCGAAATGAAGAAAGTGCTGCTGCTATGTGCGCGGTCTGTACGTCCTGACCTCGAGCCAAATATTTTCCTCTCTGGCCCTCTCACTAAGTCAATAAGAACATAATCTATTTCACCACCTGCTGATAGCCTATAGAACATTAATGTGGATTTTAACGCTATATGAGACGATCAATTCCATTAAAATCTTTTCCATTTTTTTTGTTTGTTGGATAGGTCTTTGACGTTTCTGACATGCATTTCTTTACTTGAAGATTTTTGCAAATTTATATCAATTTCTTTATCACGCTTGTGAACTGTGCATGTCAAAACTACAGTGCTACCAGTCTTTCTTGCTTTCGAAATCAGGCAAATCGTCCGACCCTAAGAGAACAAAACTGGCTGCCAGCAGTGTTAAAGACTACTTTCTCTCCTCCATTTCTTAGAAAAGAGTTTTTGTGAGATCGAACCGGAAATTACTTTCACCGGAAGTTATAAGCTACGCGCGCGGATTGATTGACATATTGATTGACAAATAAAAGTTCCCAGATTTTGCGAAAGAGCGCTTACGCCATGGAAAATTTGTTGTGTGGTTGTTTTGTTGTAGTTTTCGCGGCGACATTTTCTCAATTGGCACTCGGGAGTTTTGAATTGTCACCGGGGAAATATAGGAACCTAAGGAGAAACAAGCAGTCTTGTCAAAATGGAAGAGAAAGGATGGTCACAATAGAAAAAAGAAAGAATAATTCAGTGAATAAAATAATTAACAATTACCGTCAATTTTCCCTACCATGTGGTATTGTATCGTACTGTATTGAACTTTATTTGCCATTACGTTTACAGCAACTAATTAAAAGTTTTTAATTAAGTAGAAAAAATAAATATATAAATGGCAAGGAAACCAAATAAAAAGCAATTGGGTTTGTTGTCTTAGGTTCCCTCACTAGCAAGGCAGGACTATAATTCAAAAATGCGACGAAAGATACAGCAGGTCGTGTTGGAAGGAACATCAGTAATTTATAGATTTCTAGATTCATAGAATAAATAATTGTTAGAATAAATAACTGCTGATTATAAGTTTCTCACGTTTTATTGCCTTATGGTGGTCGATGCACTTAGCTACACCTAGCTAGTTCACAGGCATGCCACTTAAATTGAAAGAAAAAAAACTATCAATTAAACACAATAACTTCAAAGAGCCCAATGAACTCTAGCTAAGTGGGCAGAACAGGACTTGAACCTGCGACTTCCGGATTTCAAGTCCGACGCTCTAACCACTCATTTGCATTCTGATTCAACCTTGTATTGCGTTGCATTGTTTCGTATTTTCAAAGTGAGTGACACTTTTCCACTGCAGTTATGGTACCAAGAAAATCAAAGCTCTTGTTTTTTGTACCTGTTTTCAAAATCGCAGAGTCCTAGTTTTATTAAAGATGAGTCACATTGTCTCGTTTGTGTGTGTTTCTCTCGGTCTCTGGGTCCAAAATTTTCTAGTCTTTTTCAGATTTTCAAACAGGGACTGCAGCATCTTAGCAAATCTTTTTTTTGTCCTTCTTGTTTGCTCTTACTATGGGACATTTGAATGAATTGTTGTCAGTTTCCCCCTACCACCCCAGAATTTGCCATCTTTTGCATACAGTGGAATCCTGATTTCTCAAACCTTCNCCCCCCCCCCCCCACACACACCTAAGGATTTGACACTTTTTGTATATACGGATATAGAAAAAGCTGACGCCCAGCGTTTGCAATTAAAGGGCAGCCTTCCAAGGATACCTAAAAATAAAATGAAAACACTTAATCGTTAATACATGTCAGTTATAATTATTGTTAAATCTCTCTCCACAGTACAACATACTGCATATTCCAGTTGAGACACCTCTTCGCGGCCATGTCTTGTCCCCATCATACAGATGGATCCCCATCAGCCGGTTGGCCTGTGTCCAAGTCTTCTGCAATCTCCTTTCTTTTCTTGGGCACAGTCTTGTACTTGTATGAGGAAGCAATGTACAGGAAAACAACAAAATTGATCAGCATCAATCCAGACAACAGGAAGTAGAAATATTCCATATGTCCTTGATTGGGATCTTCACTTGGATACCAATCACTCTTGCTAGCAGCTCTCACTATGATAACAAGAACGTTTGCCACATAGTTTCCAAGTGCACTTGTGAAAAGAAAAGCACCCATCACCAGTCCTTGAAGACTCTGGGGGGCTTGAGAATAGGCAAACTCAAGTCCTGTGGAGGAGAGTGAACAAAGTTAATTACACAGGGGAGGAGTGGTGCAGTCATGAAAGTGTTCAAAGTCGCTTCCTACCAATGTGGCCCAGGTTGGATTCCTGAGCTATAAGTCATAATTATGTGGGTTAGCTTTGTTGTTGTTGTTTGTCCTTCGATTTTTCTCTGGATTCTCTGGCTTTCTTCACGCGACAAACTAGGTAATGGTAAAGGTAAAGTCTGCATACGAGCCAAGTTGCCCATCAGGCCGGAGCTTATCCTGATACTAGGAGTATTTCTATCACCCCTCCCTTGGATGGGATGCTAGTCCATTGTAGGGCTACCCCAAGCATTACGTTCACCGATACCCATTTATAAACCTAGTTGGAGAGAGGCACTGTGAGAGTAAAGTGTCTTGCCTAAGAACACAGCGCAATGTGCCCGGCCAGGGCTCGAAGCCGGACCGTTCGATCCAGAGACGTCCGCGCCTCCCAACTCCACAAACTAACACACTCTAAATTTCAATTCAGTATAGTTTCTGTCCTCCGCAATCAGTTATCTTTGCGGCTTAGCCGGAAGTGTAACACCTCCACAAGACTCCACCATACGATTTTACTTTCAATATTATTCTGACTTATTATTTTCAATAATAAGTCAGAATATGAGTAATATATCAGTTGTAAGCTGGCAAAGTGAACTGATCTGAAGGTGGCGGTCGCGGGTTTGAATCCTGTGATTGTAGCATAGATTTACTTTGTGAAATTAATTACAGTACTGTAGTTACACGATGCCAAGAGAAAACATGAAAATAAAACATTTCAATTTGTCATTAATGTTGTGAAGTATAGGATTTGCCTACCTGTGACAACCATAAGCACCTCACTGGATCCAATTAATACAAATTGTGGGATTTGCCAAAAAACATTTACACTTGAAGCATTGCGGCTTTCGTCAAACACTGTTTGTATACAAAACCCGCCATCTATCCATGCATTCCTTCGTTGTATCTCAACCACTCCAGCCACAATGACACACGCAGATGCTAACGGCATTCCGACACCAATACGCCGCAGAGGAGTAAAATTAATGCCGCAGTAACTGACAAGAGGATAAACAACCTGATCAAAAATGGGAATCAACACAAGCACAGCAACGATAGCGGAAACTGACAAGGATGCCGCTGGAATTGTAAATTTGTCAAATTCTAGTCTCATAAAGGTTGCTTGAATGAGGAACGTTGTCTGCATCTGCAACACGAACAACAATAGCAAATAAACAACTACAACAACAATAGCAATCGTAACAATAAAACACCGACCTCAGCAATCACAAAAGAAACAATAGCTTACTGTACATGTTGGTTAATTAGTGCTTACAGCCTTACAAACTAATTTTAACCAGAATTTAAATTTTACATAATAATGAAATAAGGGAGAGGAAGGAACATTCCATCAATTTCAACCATATACTAGGGTAAGACATAAGGCTGTGGTCTAAAAAAAATTACAAAGACCCTAAAAGTTCCTAACCATGAAATCCTTAGTGGATGCTCAGTCCATAAGCGTATACGAAAAACTAATAAATTTTTCCAGTCCCCCAAAGGCAAAAGCTAGTCGCCTGTGGCACTGGGCGAGAGAGGCCTGAGACCCCATATTAGAAGATACTGACTACGCCCTTAGTGAATGCAGTCTACACTGGATGATAAATGTATGAAATGAAAACTTAAATTGAAATCCAACCTGTGAGAAAATTGTCCAGTAAACAACGAACAGACCAAAGATAGCGATAACTCTCAACAGTGCCTTGACATCTTCAACTTCTACCTCACTGAACTTCCCTCCGTATCTCCTCTTTGCCCCCTCCAGCCACGTCCCTGCATTCTGCTTGCGATTTCGCACTGCTTCACAGACTATTTTTGCAGTGTCAGTGAGTTGGCTGCCTCCTGGCGGTTTAGTTACGTAATGGTTACGACCCGCAAGAAACACGATAACAGCGATAAACATTGTACAGGCTGGAATACAATAGCCATAAAACACATTTGATTGTTGAACTCCTACAACCACTGTAGCGGCTATTAAAGATCCAACATTGATGATAAAGTAATACCATTTAAAGAATGATTGAACAGCCCTTTGTCCATCCTGTTTAACTTGGTCCGCTCCAAATAGTGAGACATTGGCCTTGATTCCTCCTGTGCTGAATGCGATCATTAGCAGGGCCAGTCCGAAGTATATCAATCTCATTGTTTCGTTATGAGTGGCTTTGGTATGAAATAATGTTTGAATCATATCATCTCCCATGGCAACTGGGACAAGTAGAATAGTTCCCACAAGATAAAGCAAAGAGCTTCCATAAATCATGTTGAACCGGCCCGTGTACGTGTCGGCCAGCCATCCTGCCAGAAGGGGAACAAGATAGCACGTTCCTGAAGGACAAGAAACAACAAAACAATGTATCGTCAAAACACTACATGGACTAAATTTTGCAAGATTTCAGGTGAAACATAATTGCAGATTATTCAGTGACTTTCTAAGTGGTGTCCTGAATATCAATACTTTTTTCAACTTGATTCCTGTTATCTTGCTTCAGCTGGTGTTCTAAATAACGTAAGATGTGAAGCCTCGTAGATCTTGGCCTTTACTTCTTCATTGTTTTTGTGGCAAGAAGGGGTTACGAATACGTTTGCTACACCCCCTGCACGAATGCCAGTCTAGTATTCTGTCAGGTTGTCTCAACAATTTGCCGGTACCCATTTATACTGCTGAATGTAAAGAGGCAGTGGGAGAGTAAAATGTCTTTCTCAAGAACACAACAGTATGACACCGGCCATGATTTGAATCTGGATCGCACAATCTGGAATCCAGAACGCCAACCATTTGGCTACTACACATACCTAGTTAAATGTGAAAAAGAAAAGTCAATGTACCAACCTGAAAGCAAATAAGAAATAGTTGATGGCCAAGGAGGATCAAGATTCAACTCAGTACTGGAGAATAACAGTAGATTTAGTCTCAGTCCATAGTAGGTTAGGCGCTCACATAGCTCTGTTACAAGAATGCAGATAACTACGAGGGACTTTCGGCCACGTCCCATAATCTGATTGCGATTGTTAACAGAAGAGTTACTGCAGGCCCCATGAAATGTAGAAAGGAGATCATTGTTCTCTGAGATCAGCGGAGAATTTTCGTCCGCATTTGGCATCTTGCATATAGGTATTTTACTGGATGTCTATAAATCAAACAAAGACAGAACCTGTATTACCTTTGTACAGTTTCTTTCAATCACAATTTACACAATTTATAGTTACACAATCATGCTGAACAGGATGTAAAGTGATGTCGACACTCGACATGGAGACCAGCAAGCTGACTGCCGCAAGTGTCCTGTGTGGACCAAATCGCTACACTGCGGACATAACAGCCGAGTAAGTGGTACGACTGCCTCAGTGCATCAATTTCGTCGATTTTGAAAATGATTCGACAGTGCGGACACGGATACCCTTTGGAATCTTCTCCGACACCATGGGATATGGCAGTACAGATTGTCATCATCAGTCGTAACTCCTACGAGGGGAGAGCTCTCACGAGCATTCAAAGTGAAAACGGGAGTTTTGATTGATTGCATAATGAGAACATCCACGACCCCCGTTCACAGCAAAAGCACGAATTGGAATCCAGTGGACACTTTGGACGCAGCTGGATGAACTCGACTTTGCAGACGACCTAACACTTCTATCTCACAGGCATCGACAACTGCGTTGCTCAGACGTTCAACAGTGTGGAAGCCTTTTCCACCTAAATTCGCCATCACATCAAAAAGGGAAAGTCTTACACAATAAAATGAATGAATGAATGAATGAATGAATGAATGAACGGAATGAATGAATGAATGAATGAATGAATGAATGAATGCCGAGTCAGTACGGCTGGAAGGCAAACCTCTGGAAGAGGTGGATGCCTTCACCAATCTGGGCAGTGTAGCGGACAATAGGAGGGCACGAGGACTGACAATATAGCCAGGGTCGTGAAAGCAAGAGCAACCTTTCTACAGTTGAAGAACTTCTGGAGTTCCAAAGAACTGACACTACAGACTAAGATCGGGATCTTCAATAGCAACGTCAAACCTGTCCTACTCTATTGATCATGAACGTGGACTGAGGACAACCGTGGCAACCATAAAGAAAGTGCAGACCTTCCTCAACACAACTCTACGAAAAATCCCCCCGGATACGTTGGCTAAACTGCATCAGCCGCAACAACGATCTGTGGCAAGGAACCAACCCGTCCTAATCACAGGGGGCGTAGTAACTGAGAGATGTATTAATTTTTAAGATAATATTATTTCTTCCCCCCGTATGGCAAAAAGACCTGAGATTGCTTATATTTACGTTTTTGTGTGAAAGGGCATTCCAAATGATCGAGCCCCTATGTGCAATAGAATGCTTCGTGTAAACTGTGTTAAAACGTGGTACAACATCTTTATTTCCGCTTCTGAGACCATGTCGATTTTCAGCTTTGACAACGATGACACTCTTGCTTGGTGGTGTTGATTTTAGTAGACCGTGATAGGCTTAACAAGATTATAAACAACAACAAAATGTTGGTAAATTCTAGATTCAGGCCAGAAAACAAGCTTACTTAGGTTTCTGTATAATACAAGGCTAGGATTGTATTGCCATCGCCCCTCGTCACAAAGAGGGGACGCTTGTCAGATGAGAACGTTTGAAAGCCTCCTAGCCAACGATTAGCCGGAATCTTTCTAAATGTCTGGGATGTGTTTTTAAATAGAATTTCAGTTGTAGCGCTGCTGCAGACCGGTTGATGTATTTATATCTCAATGCATGTGAGGTCTGTATGTAAATGTATACAGGATCCCGCAGAGGGAAAAGATGGGATCTCTCCTGCTTATAACTTCCTGTCGTCCATCACGTGCATTGCAAAGGCCAAGGCCATTCTCAAGAATACCTAATTTCGATCTTTTAATCCCTCCAATCGGTGAACTGCGTGAAGCACTTTACCTCAAATCAAGTGACAAGAGGGGTGTGTGTGACATGGCTATGGATGCTCTGCACTCCTGACCCCTGTGTAAAAGTGCGCACACTTCTAGCAAATCTTGGGTTAATAAGTTACCACTTACGACTCGATTCATATAATTACTTAGTAGATCGCTTTGAGGAGGATATTGCTCTAATTTTATCAAGAAAAATATACCTCTTTTTTGATGAGGACCGGCAATTAGCGCTTGCAAACTCGATCTTGTCGCACGTGCGCAAATCAGACTTAAAAACAATGACACTTCATGATAACTTGTGAAACTATGCGAGCCCTTGTGAGTCCCTTGTGAGTACCTTGTGACACCGAGTAGTATCTCTACTCTTGTATTTCGAAAATGCAGCGTGAAACCTGATAATGGTTGTGACACCATTATTATATGGATAACGTTTTACGCGTGTTATGGAGTAAATTTTACCTTTAAATCCTCGACAACACTAAGCCGGAGGAATTTGAAAACGGAAGGAATGCATCAAATGTTTCCAATCATCCGCACTACCTATTGTAGGAGAAATATGAAAACGCAGCAATCACCAGTCATTTTATATTCGTGTTTGAGTAAAAGTAGAATTCGGCCATGAGGAGTATCATGATTACAGTAATGTCATCGTTTTCAAAAAACTTTCAAAATGTTTTCCGTCCACACTGAAACGCAAAGCTCACACGTATTCAAATTCCTCCGGTTTGAAGAGCGTTTCTGAAAAACTCCGCTTTCGTGGCGGATTGGTGTGGACGGAAGACCTAACCGAAGAAGTAAAACGCCGCTTTTATATTTCTCCGGCGTAGCGTGGACGGGGTCACCAGTAGCAAAATACCAAATGCAAATGGAAATTTCTACTAATAAAGTTGTTTTTTGGGGTTTTTACATGAAGCTAGGGTGATGTTCCCAACAATGAAATTGCTGTTCTTTAAGAAATGAGTTCTTTTCTCACAGAATTTCTAATGTCTCCGAACACCAATATGACCGCCTGAAAAAACGCCGTATACTGGTTGGTATGGTGGGAACGATTAAACGTTTTATCTTTTCATCTGTTTTTGCTGCGCTCAAAAATTTGTGACATTATGGTGCTTTGTGAGAATCGCAATCCTTCTAATCCCAATTCGATTAGATTAGTGACATGACCGCGAGGTGTATATTTTTCAATAAACGATTCATCTATCTCAGTTATCTATCTATGTTTACATACATGCACACCTACAAGGTCAAAAGGAGCCAAAGGGATGGAAGGAGAGAAGGAGGAAGAGACGAACACGTCATATATCATTTTCCTTCCATTTTAAATTTGTAGACTATTTGAGTGTTGATTTTCCGTGACAACCTGTGCGATGTCGTGACGAAGTAATGAAGCCAGTGTTAACATGGAATCGAAGCATTGTTAGCGCGCGAGCAAGCGCTCTTGGAGTAGAAAGTGCAAGAGTCTCAAGCCCGTCCACACTACGCCGGAGGAGTTTGAAAACGCAGCTTTATTTCTACGGTTAGGCCTTCCGTCGACAACACCGAACTTTTCAAGAACGCTCTTCAAATCGGAGGAATTTGAAAACACCGGCTTTGCGTTTTAGTGTGGACCGAAAACATTTTGAAAACGCTCCGCTGTTTCCCCGTAAATGCACAGTTTTACACTAACTACTAATTCATTTTAAAACGTCTGTCAAATACTACTTACCTTCAGGTGCAAAGAACTGCCACCACTACAACACAATTCGAAGATTTGCATGAAAATAGATATATACCTCGTGTGAAACAGCTGATACGCATGTAGGAACGATCATGTGAGACTCGATGTGAACTTTGTCACGACATTCTCACAAGGCTTGAGACGAAAAATTAACACTCACTAAGCCGGTTAAAATGATAGGAAAATATTATGTGGCGTTTTTCTTCTTCACAAACTTTGCAGCAGAGAAAAGAACGCCCGGGCTTTTATTGAAAACTAGATCATTGGATAATGCAATTCAAAAAATTTCACTGGCTTAGCCATCGTGGGTTATGAGCCATTATACCATGCTCTACAAATAAGGCAAGCGTACGCGTGATTTTTTGGGGCGTTTTTATTTTTATTTCAGTCTAGTTTTCTCTACTTTTGGGGCGTTTGTAATAAAAATATTACTCCACTCGCGCTTATTGGATATGAGATTAAAGCCAACTCATATCCAACGCGCGCTCGTGGAATGATTGTCAAATATAGACTTGATAGGTATGTGCGTTCCCAAAGGGTATACGGTTTTTGAAAGGTTTTAATCCCCCCAAAAAGGTTCGCATAGATTCTGACCCATTTGTGCTGAAAGAGAACATGTTTGCTCTCTAGCTTGGCATTGGGTATTTTGTTTACGGGGAGCTCTTTTTCCGCATCAAGATTTGGCAAATTTGTAGCCTTTCTCAAGTGTTTATGAAAATAGCAGCCATTTCTGGTTATCCGAAGTCGGCAGGTATATTTTGCAGGTTGCAGGTTGAAATTTAATTATAACTGGAAAACCACTGGCACTTAAAAGAAACGTACAGGTGGTAGACTGACCCTGACTGTTACATGACGCTGTTTACTATCGCTCAGAAAGGTGGCTTCCACCCAAGTGCCAAACCGGCCGAAGCGATGGGAGGAGAGTATATTCCTATGATTTTAAGCCTGCAATGGGTAATTGTTTTTGAAGAAAAGTCTGAAATATCATCTGAAATATCTGCTGAATTTGGTTTCTTCCCTGTGAGTACCAAAATGAATGCACACTGAGCTTGTGCTAGTATATTCCGTCGGTTAAAATCTTATATTATTTCATTTCTTTATTTATTTGCTTCATTTGTGATGGCAATCTTCTGTTGTTGAGGGAAGACCCGAGCCAAATCTGGAATCGATGGAAACATCTGTGGAGCGGCCATCCAGCTGGCTTTGAATAGATTTCACTGGTCTCGGCGTGTCGATCGATAAGCGCTTATAGCGGATTGATCGTGTTTTCACTATGTGAAAGAGGCGAACTCCTTTATGTAACAACCCCTGACGAGTATATAGGTTATTAATTATTTTTAGTGCCAGCGGTTTTGCAGTTATAATTAAATTTCAACCTGCAACCTTCAACCTGCAACCTGCAGAATATACCTGCCGATCCGCAGTCGTAGATGAATACACTTAGCTTTTCAGGTGTGACATCGCATGATAAAATGGCGTACCAGCTAATTTACAGGTATTCCATGCACCTAGATAAATGTTTCTAGCTTTATCGATGTGTTTGACATCTCCACTTTAATTGCGTTCGACGAATTGCGTTCGACGAAGTTAGAGATTCTAACCCTCCCGATTTGATCGGGAGACTCCCGATTTGATGTGTTGCCTCCCGCTCTCCCGATTCATATCAAATTCTCCCGATTTATCATAAAATTGTGAAAACAAGGGGAAAAAAAATGATAATCTTGAGAATTTTTTGCGATGGATTACACTTTCTTCTCATATTATCCCCCCAGTCTCTCACCGAGTGTTGTGCAGACTCATCAGGCCAGCAGTCTTACTCCATTTAGCAGCTCGAAAAAGATGGATTAACAACAGTAAAGAACAGCCCAAAGATGTCTGTGATAAGAATAAACTAAAGACCTTATAGAATAACTCAGAAATGATGTCAAAATGCAGGAAAAGGCATTTGAGAAAACCTAAATTTGCAAAATTTCCCAGGGGGCATGCCCCCAGACCCCCCTAGAGGCTGGCGCCTTTGGCGCTAAAAGAGTCTCCCTATTTTCCTTCAAAAGGGGTTGGAATCTCTGCAACTACGACCACAGGCAGACCACTCTCTGTATTCATGGTTAATAATTGTTTATACGAAACAAACAGAATCTGTGAGGGTTATGAATAAAGCTCTCAAAATTGCATATCTTAATTACATCTTGGTCTGAATATCCCAATTATGTTAAATGCAATGTTAATCGATTCATTTGGTGTTTTTTCACCTTCCTGGGCTGTCTAAAGCATCTTTAACGAAATTACTATTGGGTGGAGACAGTTAAGATGAGAGGGAGACAAGGAGACAAAGCTCGCAACTAGGCGGCTGCCAGCCACAACCTCCTCCACTTTAAAATGGAATTAACGCCAAAATACTGAAAATCTCACCTCAGTGGCAATTGTTGGTGATTGAGGAGATATTTCTCTATCTCTTCGCCAAATTTGAGCATACCTCCAACATTTTCAGAGAAAATCAATGCTGTAATCAGGAATACAGCTTTCTCAATATGATCGTTGCCAAACTCAGCAACCAAAGGAATTCAAGGCATGCAGGCCATTTCAAATCTACCAATCAGCACTTGGCATCCCACGGCGGCCAAAAGTAATTTCATAAAAAGACACTTCAGATGGCCCAGGAAGGTGAAAAAACACCACACATGAGTCCATTAATGCTTCATTTAACTTTATTGGGATATTCAGACCGAGATGTAAATTTAGATATGCAATTTTCGGAGCTTTTTTCATAACCCTCATAGATTCTGTTTGTTTCATATAAACAGCTATTAACCACAAACACATAGAGTGGTTTGCCTGTGCTGCAACGCACAAGAATGTGTTCGGGAATGCAGTGTCAAGACAGTTCTGTTACTGACCACATTAACTTTGGTAATGGAAAACTTGGGAAGGTCATGGAATTTTAAAAGCTTTAAAGAGTATGTACCCCCACTAATGAAATCAACCAGGTTTCAATTCATTTGGCTTTTCAAAACTGGAAGCTGGGAAAGTTGAGAAAATTGAAGTGTTTGGTGTCTATCACACTGTTAGTAAATCTACTTTCAAACCCAAAAGTGATTGTTTACAATTGGTAATTTTGTTGCTGACAGCAGCATCAGAGAAACCTGTCAGTGGAAGTCAAAAAAATAGTTTTTTCTACATGTCGTTATTTGTACCTGAGCGTCCCACACACCACTGGCTTCCAATTCTTATTAGCAGTGAAATACATGTATTTTCATTAGTGCTTATGGTTGACACATAAAGCTCATGTATTTTGCCATCCTCTTTAGGCTGATCAACTCACAGAGGAACAGATTGCTGGTAAGGACTGAAATACTGTAACCTCCCACAAAAAGTCATGGTACTAATTGTTCCAAGGGCTTTTTGTGGGCGTATTTTTGTAGGAGGTTTTTGGTTCGATAAGAGTTTATGCATCTGAAGGGTTTGGGCACCCAAGAGTGTGTTCCATTGAGATGACCTTGATCAGGATCAATGATCCAATATCACTTGGATAATGCTGTATCAAAAGAACCAAAGCAGTGTATACATGTATGTTGCAATGTGTTCTTTTAACATTAATTTTAATGTGTGTGTTATCTCTGGCTTGCAGAATTCAAAGAAGCATTCTCACTGTTTGACAAGGATGGAGATGGTACAATCACCACAAAGGAACTGGGAACAGTAATGAGGTCTCTTGGACAAAACCCAACAGAAGCAGAACTTCAGGACATGATCAATGAAGTGGATGCAGATGGT